GCTCGCCTTGAGCTGAAGAGCTGAGGGACAGCGCCCAGGCCCAGAGTTCAAGCCCCACGACTGACCAAAAAAAAAAGGTCGTGCCAGGCGCCCCAGCCTGCCTCACCATTCCCTCAGTGTCTTCACGATGTTCCTGATGTCCTGCTTCCGGATGTCCCGGCCAATGCAGAAATCCACTTCAAGCAGCTGCTTTCGCTGGTCCAATTTGCCTTGGATGATGTCCGTGTAGACAGCTTCGATGATGAGGTCCTCGAGTTCCCGGAGATTCCTCATCTCCAGGTCCTTCAGCAGCACAGAGTAGGGGATACACTGTGGAGAGGGTCATGTGACATCGTTACGGAAACCACCTGGTAAGCAGTAATGAAAATTCAGGTTATTACACAGAGCCAACAACTGCTCTGGGCTGGGGCAATGCAGGCCAGTGGTAATAATTAACACACAGTGACCATGAGACAGGTGAATGAACTGTGAGACCAAAGACCTCTTCCTGACTCTCTACATCCTGGACTCTACCCATCTCACACTTCCATACCTGGAGCATGCTCTTACAGATCCTAAACCCTCCTTCCAGAGGAAAGAGAAGCACTCTGCTGCCTTCTGGAAGCACGGAGACTGCAGAAAGTACCAGAATATCATAAACCTTCAACAGATCCTGGACAATGAAGAGGACTGGCTGCTTTCCAGAAGAATGACAGAAAAGAACTAAACCACCAGCACATCTTCCTACACATGGCCAGTGGAGATGGTCAGCCCACGAGCATTGTGAAGCTTGCTCCTGCTTCCTCAGACTCTTGGAACCAAAGCCAAATTCGCACCAACAGTTGTCTACTGGGCTGCATCAATGTTCTACATGACTCCAAGACAATAAAGTATCTAAATACGTAGGCTGGGTACAATGGCTTACACCTGTAATCCTGTTTGGGAAGCAGAGATCAGGAGTACAGTTCAAGGTCAACCAGGCAAAAAGCAGGACCCCATCTCAAAAACTAAGCTAGGCATGATGATAAACATCTGTGAGCCAAGCTATTTGGAGGCATAGAGGAGAAACTGTCTCTGAGGTCAGCCTTGAGCAAAAACATGAGCGCTTATCTAAAAAATAATTAAGGCAGCCAGGTGACGGTGGCTCATGCCTGTAATCCTAGCTACTCAGGAGGCTGAGATTTGAGGATCATGGTTCAAAGCCAGCCCAGGCAGTAAAGACTATGAGACTCTTATCTCCAATAAATGACCAGGAAACTGGAAGTGGCGCTGTGGCTCAAGTGGTAGAGTGCTAGCCTTGAGCTGAAGAGCTGAGGGACTGCACCCAGGATCAGAGTTCAAGCCCCACGACCAACCAAAAAAAAAAGGGCAAAACTGCGCTGGCGTGTTGTAAAGTGGCAGAGCACCTGCCTAGCAAGTGCAAGACCCTAAATTCAAACCCCAGTGCCACAAACAAATAAGCCATTTCCTGCAAATCCACTTCATATCACTACTACTTCAGAAATGACAGATCTAAATAAGCAACTGGACACTGAAGGCTCATGCCTGCAATCCCAGCTACTCAGGAGGCTGAGATCTGAGCAAGGTTTGAAGCTAGTCCGGCAGGAAAGCCCGTAACATCCTTATCTCCTATTAACCACCAAAAAAAAAAACAAGTGGAGCTGTGGTTCCAGTGGTAGAGTGCTTTTTCCGCATTGAGCAAAAAATCTCAAGGATAGTGCCCAGGCCCCAAGTTCAAGCCTCAGGACTCAGACATATGGATGGATATAGACACACACACACACACACACACACACACACACACACACACACACACACACACACACACACACACACACACACACACACACACACCATCTAACTAAATAAATACCCACCACTAGCCTGGGCACAGCACACTGTGCACTGAGTACTGGAGACACTGGTAACTTGCTATGAGATGTTTGCTGTTTGAAGTCTTTTTTTTTTTTAATTTTCTTTATTTTTGGTCGGTTGGGGGGCCTGAACTCTAGGCCTGGGCGCTGTCCCTCAGCTCTTCAGCTCAAGGCTAGCGCTCTACCACTTGAGCCACAGCGCCACTTCCAGCTTTTTCTGTGTATGTGGTGCTGAGAAATCGAACTCAGGGCCTCATGCATGCAAGGTAAGCACTCTACTACTGAGCCACCTTCCCAGTCCGAAGTAAGTCTTTAAACAGCAGCAAATGCTTTCCCTGCAGGAGCCCCACACCAGGCCAGAGCAGAAACCTGCTGGTGCAATCACTAGGGGACATGCTTCTTTTCCTGGGTGGAATGGGAATAAGTCTGTACACCATTTCTCTTTTTCCTTTGCCAAGTAAATGCCATGCATTTAGGAGATGACTACCATTATAGAGGGCAGTTCCCTCACTGATGCCAATGAGATACCCAACTCGGGGTTGGGAGAAAGACGGGAAAGGGCTGGGCACCATACCTTCATTCTCGAGGCCAAGCTCACGATGGTGAGGTGCTTCAGCTTGTTCTGCTGAGCTGGGCTCAGTTCTGGCAGGCTCTCCTTGTTGGCTGCTCAGTCCCACCCACCACAAAAATCAAGACACAAAATAAAGTTAGGATTTCTTTTATGGAGTGAGCTCACCCACTCCCCGCCACATCTACAAGGAAATCACTGTCAGGAATCTGCACTTTTCATCAGGCAAACGCTCCGTGAGCACCTCCTGCCTTATCTGGAAGATCACATGCTTCTCCCAAAGAAAACGTTCAGTCTCTACACACAAGGAGTTTAGGCTCCTCCTGAAAGCCAGGCGTGAGGAAACAAAATGCTCCAACAATCATGCTAATACAGTACTCCAAATCCTTTGCAAAGCCATGTGCCTTAAGCATGGCTTGTACAATGCATGCACTTTCTAAAGGGGAATCAAGAACAAGGGCTCATGGAGAACTGCAGCACATAACTTCCAGGGGCCTCAGCCACACAACTCAATGGCCCAGGACTTGTCCTCAGCCTACAAATGCTGTGGACAGGCAGGCCCATCAGAGACAGAGACTATTAGAAGAGGAAGGAAATGAAAGGAAAAGACAAAAAAGAGGGAAAGACGCATGAGAAGGGGAGGAGCAGAAGGCAGCAGACATACAGGAGATAAAAAGCAAAGCTTCATGGGAGAGATAGAGCTTGAGATGAGCCTGAAGGATGAGCCAAAGCAGCAATCACAGTAATGATCACAGCAGCAGCTGTGTACATAGTCTCTGGATTCCAAAAAGCTGAACCAAGCCCCAGGACTGAATTGACACTCACAAAAAAGTGCAAGGTTCCAGTGGTTCACATCTATAATCCTAGCTACTCAGGAAGCTGAGATCTGAGGATCAAGGTTGGAAGCCAGCCTTGGCAAAAAAAAAAAAAAAGTGACTAAGATTCTATCTCTAACCAGTCAAAAAGCTAGACAGAGGGCTGGAAGGTGGCTCAGTGGTAGAGTGCTTGTCTTGCATGCTTGAGGCCCTGGGTTTGATTCCTCAGCACCACATAAGCAGAAAAAGCCAGAAGTGGCACTGTGGCTCAAGTGGGAAAGTGCTAGCCTTGAGCTGAAGAGCTGAGGGACAGCGCCCAGGCCCAGAGTTCAGGCCCCACAACCGACAAAAAAAAAGCTGAACTAGAGGTATGGTTCAAGTGCAGGAGCTCCAGTCATGAGTGAAATAGCCAAGCAAGAGTACTAAGATCTGACTTCAAGCCTTGATATCATTATACAAGGCACACATAAACCACAACTAAGTCTAGGGACGTGGCTCAATTGTAGACTGGTACAGTAACAGAATGTTAAAAATGAGTATAAGGAGATTTGGTGGTCTATCTCTATAATCCCAGCAGCTGGGAGGCTAAGGAAGAAGGACTGTGAGTTCAAGGACAGGTTGGCTGCAAAGTGAGATCCAAAACCCAAAAAACAAAGGAAAGAAAGATAGAGGAGGGAAAGGAAGAGGAAGGAAGGAGGGAATAGGAAGAGAAAGAGGTAGGGAGGAAGGGGAATATTTAGTTTTTAACAGTACTGAGGTTTGAATTCAAGTCTTCATGCTTGCTTAGCTTGCTTGCTCAGCTGACATTCTACCTCTTGAGCCGTGACTCCAGCCTGGGTTTTTGCTGATTATTCTGGAGACAGTCTTGTGGAATTTTCTGCCTGGGCTAGCTTCTAACCTAGATACTTGGGCTCTCAGCCTCCTGAACAGCTGGATTACAGGAGGGAGCTACTTGTACCCAGCAAAAGAAACTATTTTGATAACAATGAAATATTTTACTAGTTGGTATGCTAACAGTTCATGTCATTGCTGAGTGCTTTATAAATACCAGTTCTCAGTAGCTCATCTGAGAAATAAACAGGACTCTATCTGTGGGTGGACATACAAGTCCCTATTTTAACCTACAGGAGATAAAAGGGGAAAGGGGAAACTTCTTTTGGGAGGTCACCTACAGAAACACAGTAGGATGAGAAACAACCAGGTCAAAAGTCTTCCCCTTGCCAGATGCCAGTGGCTCACACCTGTAATCCTAGCCACTCAGGAGTCTGAGATCTGAAGATCGAATTTGGAAGGCAGCCCAAACAGGAAAGCCTGTAGGACAATTAACCACCAAAAAACTGGAAGTGGAGTTGTGGCTCAAATGGTAGAGTGTTAGCCTTGAGCAAAAAAGCTTAGGGAAAGTACCCAAGCTCAAGATCCAGAACCAGCACACATACATGCATACATGCTTGTCCGTGCATACACACACTATATCTTCAACACTGATGAACCTCAGAACCAAGCAACAATGTAAAGAAAACATTTTGAAGGCTCTTAACCAACTCACCCATGTAATCAGGGTATGTTCCATAGGCAAACAGGTTCAGCAACTGCAAATAAGCAGCATTAGCCCCTTCCGCAAGCTGAGGAGAAAAAGCAAAGTTCACCTGAGAGCAGACATCTACAATGTTACACAGGACTGGTGAGCACATGCTGAAGACCCCCTGACTGTTTACTCCATACATTTCAGTGGCCTGTGAGGTCTCTTCCAGACGTTAGAGTCTTGGTGAACAAGATTGTTACAGTCTCAAAATGAGTCATTCTCCCTTGGGAAGATGAAAATGTTTTACACTAAATACAATATGCTCAAATAACATCTCTCTCTTCTTTCTCTAATTCTCTCTTCTCATGTTCTCTAGCACTCTGTCTGTCTCTGTCTCTGTGTCTCTCTCTGTATCTTTCTGTGTCTCTCTGTCTCTCTCTCCAGTGTACATGCACAGCACTCAGCACTGGAAGCAGTGCAGGTTTTCTCAGGATTCCCTTTGTATCCAAATCAAGACTGGCTGGACACCACTGACTCAGGCCCATAATCCTAACTACTCGATGAGGCTGACATCTGAAGACTGCAGTTCAAAGCCAGCCCAGGCAGGAAAATTCATGAGACTCTTATCTCCAATCAACTTCCAAAAAGCAAGAAATGGAGCTTTAGCTCAAGTAGTAGAGTCCTAGCCTTGAGAACAAAAGCTTAGAGACAGCACTCAAGCCCTGAGTTGAAGTTCCAGGACTTGCACAAGAAAGAAAAAAAAAAGATTGGAGCAGTCCTGTGTACAAGGTGTGATATTAACACAAACTGAGTTAAACTTAGTTCCACATTTCAGGACTACTGTGGACTATGAACCTTGGGAGAGATGTATGTGTATGATGGAAAAGTCAGGCTGGGTTAAGAAATAAGAGTATAAAACTTTCCAGGACCAGTGGCTCACATCTATCTTTACTCCTAGCTACTTAGGAGGCTGAGATCTGAGGATCATGGTCCCAAGCCACTCCAGGCAGGAAAGTTCATGAGATTCTTACCTCCAATTAAGTACCAAAAAAGCTAGAAGTGGCACTGTGACTCAAGCAGTAGATTGCTAGCCTTGAGCACAGAGAAGCTCAGGGACAGTGCCAAGGCCCTGCGTTCAAGCCCCAGGACTGGCAAAAAAAAAACTACTTTTTACTAATGCTGATGGCAAAGAGCCATCTGTAGAAGAAAACCCAAAAGCACCACTGTTTGATCTGGAAATGCCCTCCTGCCTACCTATACCTACCTACACTGCCTGCTTCTTAAACTGCAAACAAGCTGGTCCTCTTTCTTCCAACTTACCAAAACAGAAAGCCAAAACAGAATTAACAAGGGGAAGACACCAATGGCAAATCTACACAATTTTAGCTTGTTTTTAAAAAATAGCTAAAATTTGAGCCAGCGTGGGCAGGAAAGTCCATGAGATTCTTTTTTTTTTGGTCTGGTCATGGGGCCTGAACTCTGGGCCTGGGCGCTGTCCCTCAGCTCTTCAGCTCAAGGCTAGCGCTCTACCACTTGAGCCACAGCGCCACTTCC